GACAGTTTCCGACCTCAGCTGCAGCACGTCCAACACCATCACCCATCGAGACAGACGTCATGATGAACCCAGAGGCATTACCACCCGTTCCAGATGATGATGACCTAATGTCACCAACAGTACCAGCAGCCTCAGTCGCACCAACAGAACCAGAGCCAGATCTCGAGATAGATCCAATTTTCAAGACACCAGTTGGCACAGAAACCTTTGAGCAGAAGAGGGCACGGTTGAATAAGCAGGAAACCTTGTGGACGAGACGACCTCCATCAACCAGCCAAGCTCGAGGTTCAAATGAGCCAAGTGGTGAACCAAGAATTCCTCATGAACCACCAACACCAGGAGAGGGAGACACACAACACCTAGACAAGCGGCAGCGGACAGACGATTTCCTAGAGGAAGCATTCCATGTCGAGCTGACCTCAACCACCGAAGACAAGAAGTGTGTTGAAAGTCTCAATGACCTGGCAGAAGGATGGACCTATGACAGCAAGACACAGGAGTTCACTCTTGGCCCCACAACAGATTTTTGGAACTATGAGGACGGCTTTTTGGTGAGACATCACTGCTGGGCACGGGAGCAAACATTCCATTTGTCAGAAGCTAGTTTGCCAGAAGGGATCCACATGTCAGAATTGCAAACCTCACAAGGGTTGACAATGATACAAGGGCAACGGAAGATTTATGTCAACCAGAACGAGCCCTACATTGTTGACAAGACACCATGGTTTGGCAAGACATTGTTCCCACTGACAAGACAAGCAGTTGAGATGAGAAGGATGCCGTTTGCAGGTGACTTGGCGGAAAAGACGAAAGGCAAATGGTCAATCAGAGGCCGAGGTCACATCTGGACCGCCGTCGGAGTATCAAAGACTCGAAGAGCAAAAGATGATTTGAGAGAAAGCAAAATGACACTAGAAGACAGATTGGCATTCATTCACGGAAAGAAAGCTGAACTGTCATCCATCTTTGAGAATGGTGTGTGGGAGATTGAGACCAGCCCCGAGAACATTGACCACAGCCGTGTCATGAAAGCAAGATTTGTGCTGAAGTGGGTGACTGACAATGCAGGCAATCCAAAAGCAAAGGCAAGACTTGTACTACAAGGCTTTGCAGATCCGGATTTGCTACAGGGTGCATTGGAGACAAGCAGTCCCACGTTGTCAAGAACCAGCAGGCAGACCTTGTTGGCCATAGCATGCAATGAGCATTGGTCAAAGTTCACGGCAGATGTCAGCACAGCATTTTTGCAGGGAGATAAGCAAGCAAGGCTTTTGTGGTGTAGGATCCCAGCAGATGCATGCAAGTTGATGGGCTGTCCAGCAGGCACACACATGAAGCTGTTGAAACCGTTGTACGGTCAAGCAGACGCACCCCGTGCATGGTTCCAGGTGGCAAAGAGAAGACTTTGCAGTGTTGGGTACACCGTTCATGCATTGGACCATTGTCTGTTCCGGCTGCACAACCAATCGGGTCGCTTGGTATCCTTGATTGGATTGCATGTTGATGATATGATTGGTGCAGGTGATGAAACAGATGAAGTGTACCTCAAGGCACGGGAGTCTCTCAAGAAGGAGTTCAATTTCAAACATTGGACGACAGAAGAAAAAGGTGAGTTGGAATTCTGCGGCAACAAGTTGACTGCATGTGAGAATGGTGCATGGAAACTGCAACAAGAAGAATACATGAAAAAGATCAAACCAATGACAACAACAGCAAAGAAGCAAGATGATGAACTACGTCCAGGCGAAGTCAGTTCTTTGCGAGGGTTGTTAGGAGCATTGCAGTGGGCATCCACACAGACGTCCCCTCACATGTCAGCAAGCATTTCAATATTATGTGGAAACGTGAGTGGAGCGACACAGTCAGTGGCAGAGGCAGCAAACAAGGCACTTCGTTTTGGCAAGAGCAATGCAGACATTGGCCTAACATTTCAACGGTTGGGACCATTGGAAGATTTGTGTCTTTTGTCCATTTCGGATGCTGCTTGGGGTGTTCGATCAGATCATTTGAGCCAAGGAGGGTACTTCGTCCTCCTGACCCACAAGAAAGCACTTGAAGGTGAACCTGATCAACCCTATGTCATCATTGACTGGAGGTCATTCAAGCTTCCAAGAGTATCCCGCAGTTCATTGAATGCCGAAGCACAGTCATGTTCAGCTGCAGTCGATTCACTAGAGTTCGTGCACATCTTCTGGCAAGCATGTCATCAGGAAAACTTCAAGCTGGAACAGGTGAAAGACAACCAACGAGATCGAGACCACTTCCTGCCCAGCGCCTTGATCATAGATGCAAAAGCACTATACGATGCCATCAAGGCTGAAGTTCCTCAAATCAATGGTGACAAGAGGACCCAGATTGAATGCGTGATAGTGAAGCAGAAGATGCAAAACCTCAAAACTCAGCTACGCTGGGTGTCGTCAGAAGTTCAGCTGTCAGATGGTTTGACGAAGATCCAAGCAAGACAGCTACTGGCCGACAGGTTGAGGACACATAGAATTTCGCTGATGGCTGACAGCACGTTTCAGGCGGCAAAGCGCAAGACCATGCAGGAGAGAAGAGACAATGCCCGGAGGAACGCGATCAGTGTGAAAAAGAGTCTGACCATGATGATCATCGCAAATGAGCTGACACCGACAAGAGCTCAGGGAGAAGATGATGAAACAGGTTGGGACTTGACATTGTTGGTGATTGGTACATTGTTGTGCATTGGTGCTTTCCAAGTTGTTGGTTGGTTGATTGCATGTTGGCGGCAGCGAGCCCAACGAAACAACCCCACAGCAGAAGCCCAGAGTCAAACAGACCAAGATGAGCAACAACAGCAACCAGCACCACAAAGAAGAGAGACAAGCGACAGGCTTGAAGCCAGAATCACACAATACAAAGACTTCATCAGAAGAGGCAATGAGACCATGGACAGAGTGAGAAAAGAGAATGAGAGGCTAGAAGATCAATGCAAAGAGCTTGAGGCCCGATGCAGAGAGCTCGAGATAGAAATTCAAGCAAGAGATGTCAGGCAGAACCTGACAGATGAGAGACTTGATGAGCAGCAGCGCATGATCACACAGCTGGAACGAGACTTGGCAGATATCGCACAGCAAGCAGCATACCTCAACAACCACCTTGGTGGAATACCACAAACCGTGTACGTCACAAGGCACGGACGGAAGTTCCACATCGATCCCCAGTGCTCGGCTCTGACCCAAACAACAGAGTTCAGGGACTATGATTACTGCTCAATGTGCGTGAACAGAGTCACTCCGGCTCACAGGCGACCGCACGGGTCCAGTGGTGGGACCTAAATTCCATGTTTGAAGTGGAAGGCACTCGCTCACTTAAGAAGCTTTTGAGTGTCTTTTTGAAAGAACGACCGGTGTGAGTTCATGGCCCATGAACTGATCTTTCATGATCCGCCGCTCGCTTCATGCTCAATGGGTACCAAAAAGGGCCCTTGAGTCACATCGAGGTCTACGCTGAAAAGAAGTTTCATGCTTCACGTTCCGTGTTTTTCCCCTCGTAACTTCGAGCGTACTTGGGATTAGACTTGGTTTGCACACCCTGTCTTTCACACACCCCGTTTTCCCGTCCTCCGCGCTCCGGTGCCCGGTCCTCCACGCTCCATCCGCCAGAACGACTCCAAGAGTGAGACCTCGCGCGGCACGCAGCACGAGTCCCGCTTTGACGAAGGCGGGCTTCAACGGCGGGCTTCACGAGTTGCGGTGGCGGGGTGCAGCAGCGGGGTTTGGGTAGTCAACCGGGAAAAGGAGAAGGAAGAAGAGGAAGGGCCGATGGGGACCTTCTCCAACCCAGGAGGTGATCAACGAGTGGTCTTTAGATGTCTTTTAGATTCTAGATGTCTTCAGGATGACACCGCCCAGAATCCGACGGCCAAACGAGTTCGCCAAGACAGTCGAACGTCATCCTTCGCCCAGAAAATGTCGCAGTCTAAGGGCCTAAGGGGTCGAAGCAGTTCTGCATCCAAAAATGGGATAGGCATCTCCAAGCCACGAATCTTTCACGGTGTGTCATTCAAATAGGGAATGCCTTCCAAAAAAACATTCGGGACATCGTCTACGCCGGTCTACGCCGAAAAAGACCCGGGGGGGTGTCTCCAGGTGCCTTTTTTTGTCTTTTTGAGTGCACACCTACGACCGCTCTGACTGGAACTCTTGAATTTGCCTCCATCGTCCTTGCATCTGGGCGGGTACCCCGGTCGAGAAACCCCACGGCGACTGTTCAGACGACGTTTGAGTGGACCTTTTGGAATGAAAGAACAGGCACTTGAGACATCCAGCTACTCATCATTTTTCGACCCGACCGGTGGGCACCGGTTCGTTTGCGAAGCCGGGGAGTCGGTGAGCTCACTTACTTCTCCCACAGCCAACACGTGTGTGTGCCGCTGCCGTGTGGCTGATAGGCTAAAAACGAGCTTTGGGCCACCCCTTGCGGCGGGATGCTCCCTGAAAGACACGAAAGGTGAGCCAAGGAGAAAGGGGATGAAGCAACGTGAACCAAGCCCGAGCTTCAACGAGCAACCATTTCTTGGAAAAGGGAAAGACGTGGATTTGGGGCTATAGGAACCCAATAGAAACCCAATAGGAACCCAATAGGAACCCACCCAGGAACCACAAGGCCAGCTGGACGACCCCCCTTTCCAGTTCCACTTTGTCCAGGCGCTCCCGGTGAAGACCGGACGCCGGACGCGAAGTGGAGTAGACGGTGCTTTGGGAAGCTAAAAAGCACACAAAGACACCAAAAGCATCCACGGAACGCCAATAATCTAGGGCCAGATTCTCAAGGACTTTCATTCTCATCAGCATGGCAACGGATCCATCAGGAAGAAAGCAGAAACCGGAGAGCCACATCTTCGAGAGCGACAGAGCAGAAAGGCAACGCAGAAACCTCAACGAGCCCACTCTCTGTTACATTCACTGCCTTTTGGCCACCACCCCAACCACTCCGATAACCACTTCGACCATCCCACAAAACGCTCCTCCAAGACGGTGCTGTACTCCGTGGCTTTCGTGGTTTCTCCACACGCCATGAGAAGCGCTTCTTCTCCGCCGATGCCGAGAAGCGCGGCGATCTTGGAATTGGGCGATGCGGCGGCTGTTTAGCGCTTTGGCAAAGTGAGAGTCAAGAGCGGTTGATGAGGACTGGAGACTGGACCAGACAGGCTTTTGGCAACGACTTGGAGACCACTCTTGGCGTTTCCGTCTTTGGCTCATTCCCATAAGCCGGAAAGGGTTGAGAGAGTTGAATACTTCCCAAGGGACTCTTGGACCTTGGTTCCCACTCGAAACATGAGGATTCATCCCAAATTCTGAAAGAGGATGTCACAAATTCATCATCTTGAACAGTCGCGCTTTTCGGAGCCTCTCCTCTGTCTCCTCAGTCTCAAAGAGCCGTTGGTCGTCAACTCGCCGTCTCTCTTCTCGCCGAGGCCGCCTCGGCTCCACCCGTCTCGAGAGCGAGAACAGCTCTGAGTCGGAGGGAAGCAACGAGAGTTGGAGCTCCGGCTTTTCGTCCTTGGGAAGCTTCACGCGCATCGATTTGGCCTTCGCCCTAGAGCCTTGAGGAGGAGTGGAGAGGATGGGAGGCGGGCCAGGCAAGATGGGTAAAGCTTTCAGGCTGTCTTTTAGTGTGGAAAGGCTGGAGGGAGGATGCGAAAACTCGGTTCATGGAGGATTTATAAGTTGAATGATAAGTTATACTATTTTTTACGATTTTAGGACCTGCTTCACAGATCTTCACAGCCCTCTTCCACGGACGCCATTCGGTTTACCGAAAAGACGTCCGGTGTCCACCTCGTCCGAAGGCCCGGGCGGTGTCGCAGATCGCAGGGTTCGCCGCGATCATCGCGGGGTTTCGGCCGGTCCGAGGAAGGGCAAAATGGCTGTGGCTTGAAGAGCTTTGGGTATTTTCTCAGCCAATGTCTGGCTACTGGGCCGGTCAGACCGACCAAAGTGTGATCGGGGGGGTGGTGGATGGCACACGAAAGGGAAGGTCTCCGTCGTTTTTTTTGGGGGCCTCTGAGACCTTAGCGACCCGTTAGCGTGCTTGGTGTGCACAGAATAGACGACCCACCGGTCAACCTATCAGGGTGAAATAGGCAACCCATGCTGCCATGACCCACAGCCATGAAAATGGGTCCTTAGGGAGTCCAGTGTGACCACTCACTTTCTGACCATCATCCCTTGAAATTTTCGACTCTTGATATCTCTTGATAAATATGATATAAATAGACCACCCCATTTGGCTTGAATCACCTCTTGTGACTCATCAACCTTCGGTCACCCAATGGGGACGATTCCGTCGCCCCAATGGGGAAGGCCTCGTGGAAACAACCCCCAAAGGGTTCCACTGGTCACCCTTTTGCGATCTGCTGGTTTTCTCGTTCGAGGACACATATTATATATATATATGTATATAATTATGTATATTTTTGTTTACTTTGTGTTTAGTATACTAAATATTACATACACTCTATTATATCATATATTCGATTGCGGAGGCCTTGACGGTGGCGGTGCTTTTCTTCCTGTACCTGGGCCCTGGGCAACGACAAGGCATGTTTGGACTGGGATGGATTGAGGAAAAAGGCCTTCTGCGAAGACAGTGCAGAGTTCGACTCATTTTTAGATTTGGCGATCCGTGCCTGATTGAATTACAGGTCGCACAAGTGGTATTAGGTTCCTTCATTTCTCTTTCGCGGATTCATCCTTAAGGGGTTGAATATAAATCCAAATCGCATCCATCGCGTGTATTCTTCTACTTTTCGACTTATTCACCCGATCAAGTGTTTGAAAAAAGACACTAAAAAGCACCCGACAATCCCAAGAACACTCACACCGGAGTGGAAAAACGCCACCTGTTTTGTATGCGGATTTCATGGTCATCCGACGGGTGCGTGTTCGACTTCCAATGCTTTCACTGGGGGTTCTTTTGCTCTTGGAGGTTTCCCCCCCCCGGCAAAGGTCCAACCCCATCGCAAAGCTGAAGGCCCAGGAGTCTCGCGTCTTCTACGTCCGCCGCACGTTTCTCTCTGCTTCGCGTCTTCGCCCCGCGATGCGCGCCAGGTGAAGGTGTGGCGGCTGAAAAGATGCGAGAGGTCCTGAGCGACGTGCCCCAGCTGGTGCTTGCAGTGGGGCCAGGTGCCTCCGAGACGAAAAGCGCGGCCTTGCGCGGTGGAAGAACGTTCAGCCGAGTTGGGCCGTCGTTGGGTCGTGCTTGGGGGTCGGTGGTTCGGGAGTTTTGGATTCCTTTTTTGGTTGCCACACAAAGAAGGGGCACGGTAATACTGGCAGGTAGGAGGGTCAGGTGAGAGACATTTCTTCAGTGAAGAAGAAAGTACTGTACATCGGCAAGATGGCAAGATGGATCTGACGATCTACTGTATTTCATGATTGTGTATATAATCAAATCATCCACTCCCAACAGATTTAGACATCTAGCATACTCTAGCACTTGCAAGTCTTCTTTTCTTTGTCTGTGCCACTCTTTGAGATGATTCAGCATCCCATTCTTGGAATCGTATCAGGATGTGACTTGATTAATTTGTTTTTCATTCTTTGGGGCCCGCATCAGCATCAATTTGGGATCTCACTTTTCTTTTTCCTGGTCTTCCAAGACATTTTGCGTCATTGGATCGCAGATGCGAAGAGAACACCTCCATCCCAGATGTCTTCCACCCAGACCTCTGCCACCCAGACCTCTTCCACCTGATTCAGAGCAAAACACTATCCAAAAGTTCAGATGCGATCCGCGAAGGGAACCGATAGGTCTGGGCATGTTCGGCCCGCCGTTCGGCCGCTGGGACTGGGGAAAAGAGCTGAGAAACTGTGAGAGACTGAGAACAACACCGACCCCAAAGAAAGATGCAGAGCTCGGTCAGACCTGGTGGTGTGGGGGGCGACATGGGAGATCTTCAAGACTGACGGTTCCATGTATGGCACGCGTCACCTGGCCAGCGAGGCCACATTGGGCATCATGGGTGGTCGGCAAGACCGGAAAGTGGGATTCCGTGCTTGCCCAGGCCTCAAAGAACAAAGCCGTGGTGATTTAAAGATTTCCATCTAGTTTGCACCGAAAGGGCAGTCGCACCCAGAGCGAAAGACAGGTCTCCAAATGGAATCATCCGTGCAATGCTTTTCGGCGTTGGCACCTGGAAACCATCGAACTCTATGTTCAACACTTCTTCCCCCACTCATCTTCGACTCTTCCCGCCCTCGCGAAAAGGGGAACCCAAACAAAAAGGAAGAACCAATCCCTGTGCTGCGCAAGGGGAGACGGTGCCTTGCCATCGCGAACCGGCCTTCTTCTTCGTGCCCTTCAGCTTTGGCATCCTCGCAAGCCTTGCCACTCGGGTGAACGGGAGAAGCGTCCTCAGAGTCCTATGGTGTCGTTGCAGGGTCTTCAGCGTCATTTTGTTGGCCGATCCCTGATCATGTTTTTCAAGTGACCCAAGACGTCTTCAAGGTCAAAAGGACTACTGCACTTCGCAGTTCACCTTTGCATTTTAGCTTTTGCAGCTTGGTGCTGGTGCCAGCAAGAAGTTTTGGACAGAAAGACAAGAACTCTGAGGATCTGTGGATCTGTGCTGAACATGAGTTTTTACACGCAGTGATCTGAGTTTTTGCACTCCAACGACCAGACCAAGCCTTTGCATCCTCAGGTAGTTGCAGAGGTCTGTCTGAGAAGAGCCACAACACAACCTGTTTCCCAACGGGTCATCAAAGACACCCGAGGGTGTCATGTTGCTGCACATCTGTCTCATCACTATGTACTTCCTGTCTGGGTGTGCAAGGGAGATCCCCAAGTAGTGTAGGGTAGTCCATTGGAGACCCTTGGAGTTGATCCAGGTACCCTTCATGTTGCGGTTTTGATGGTCCAGCAACTCCCCCCCCAAAAAATATCACAAGATGGAAGCAGGCTGTTGAGACCATACGCCGTGTGAAGTTTTCTTTCAGAATCACACGATGGTTCTGGTGAGCCGCTGATTTTGCATTGAATGCTTCACTTTGTGCCCAGGAGCAGACTGAGGGACTTTGGTATACAGGTTCAGCCTCCCAAGAGACTTGAAGCTCATGTCCTTGCTGGGGGTATCGATCACCCACCCCATTCTTTGATCTTTCAGGATAGGCCTTGAAGTCGAGTGCGGTCCCTATCTAACCCCACCTTCTCACCAAAAGTTGATGAAGAAGAGTGAAACCAACTGTGTTTTCTCAGACATCTACCTTCTCAGAATGTCTTCCGGCAGTTTTTTGTCCCTTTCTCAGCCCAGGTTGCAAACTGGATCCTTTGGACAGCTGGGCCCTTCGTCCTTCGAACGGGAGGGTGCGCACTTGTTCCTACTAGTTTCTTGTTACTAGTAGCGATGCACTTGTTCCTACTAGCTTCTTGTTACTTTCTGAATCTGTTGGGGACCGAATTCCAAGTCGGGCTTGGGGCCTGTAACTTCGCTGGTTCGGGAGGAAGTTCCGTTCCGGAGGTTCTCGGAGCAAGGTTGCCGACACTCGTTGTCAGCCTGTCATGCTAACTTGCAACCATGCTGTCATGCTGATGTCGTTGCCGATATGTAAGATGTGGTCATGCTGGCATGCTGAGGTGTGGTCCCGCCGATATGCACATGGTTTCATGTTGGCTTGTTATATACAATTATGCTGTGATGCGGACGCCTAGGCATACGAAGAGGTTGTCTGGCTGATATGCTGGCACGGTGTGACACCAGCATGTTGTCAGGTGTCATGCTGACATGTTGTTGGCCTGGCAAACAGTCTTATGTCACACGTCTTTCAAAGCAGCATTGGTTTGTCAAAAGAACACGAGGCAAACCTTGGTGAATGTCGGTGCACGGACGCGACGGCGCCATTGGCCGACAGTGGTAGACTCAATGCATGAATCTTGCCCAGATGTTGCGGATCTTTTTGCCACTTATATACTTAAAGTTGTGGAGTCTTGCATGGAGTGCCTGGGAACATTCCCCTGCGAATGGGCCATTTCTCGGGTTTTCCGTGAGGACACAAGCCAACTTGTCAAGTACAACTGGGTTCGTTCTCCTCCAGTATAGATTCCATCTCCCTGTTCAGATTCAAGTATGCCAGAACTTGCTTGTGGCCTCAGAACTTTGCGCAGGTGCAAGTCAGTCATTGTCCAAACGTTGCCATGATTCGCGCACAGGTTCTTTTCGCACCTTTCCTTCTGGCCCTGCAGTGTGAGTCCTTGGAGGTGACTTTGACGGAGCAGACGGCAAGCTCAGACTTCATGCACCTCGAGAGCATTTGCATGACACCGGATGGCAATACGAGGCTGGCACCAGATGGTAACAACAAAGGCAATCTTTGGACCAGTTCCGATGCTGGGGCCACTTGGGTGGAGTACAAAGGAGGCTCAGGCCCGCAATTTTGGAGATCTTGTGCAATTTCGGCCGATGGCAGCAAAATGGCTGCGGGCGCCGGTGGCAGCAAGATCTGGTTGAGCTCCGATGGCGGTTCCACTTGGACAGAGCACCACAAAACCCAGGTTTGGAGAGGTTTGGCCATGGGCAGCGTACGGAGGCAAGCTTGCTCTGAGCACTGATGGTGGGGCCACATGGCAAGAGGTTCTCAGTGCCGCGTCGGGCGGTCAAAAGTGGCACGATATTGCCATGTCAGCTGATGGCACCAAGATCGTGACTTTGGTCGAGGATGGCAGCATTTGGGTGAGCTCCGACAGTGGTGCCACTTGGCAAGAGGACACCAGTGTTAGGTCAACTCAGAGTCGGCTTGAGAAATGGCGTCGGGTTGCCATGTCAGCTGATGGCACAAAGATGGTGGCGCAGCCTGTTCAGGGTGGGATAAGCAGCATTTGGCTGAGCTCCGATGCTGGTGCGACCTGGCAAAAGACCAGTACCGGCCTTGCGTGGCAATGGTGGTTGAGATGGGCGGACGTTGCCATGTCAGAGAGCGGCGACATCATTGCTGCGTTGCCGTATTCCACCGATGAGCTTGCTGTGAGCATGGATGGTGGTGCCACATGGTCAGCAGTCGAAGTCCCATGGGCAGAAAGCTACACGTCTATTGCCTTGTCAGCCGATGCCCGAACGATCCTTACCACTGACAATGGCAAAGTGTATAGTGGCACTCTTGACACCACGACCACCACGGTCAGTACTACTCGTATGACAAACACTGCCACAGTGACCACAACGACCATGACCAGCACTGGCTCCGTGACTGAGACCAGCACGAGTGTTGATGAGACTGGCAAAGCCATCTCGCACGCTCGGCCCCTCGCCTTCGCTTTTGCAGCAGTTCTGGTGGCCATGCCGTTGATGCGTGCTTGAATGTGAAGCTATCCGAGTCTAAGGTAGCAAAACCCTTTTGCATCTTTATGCACTGTACCCTTGCTTGCGCCTCTTTTGCGCTGCACGCTTTGTGCATTTTGAAGATCAGACTTCTGCACGGCCCAAAGACCTTTTTGGTCAATGGCATGTTCAAAGGAATATAGTTCTACAAAGACTGGCCTGGCATCAACTGATCTTCCGACACTTTTCACCGTCATTTCACGGTAAACACCGAGGAGGCGACCCTGTTCAAACTTCCACATGTCTACGTGGCGAGCACTGACTGTGAGACCTCGGAAGAGAGGCAAACACCCACCGTTTCCACCGACGCTTCGTTGTCCAGATTCCTGCCGTCGCGTCTGCGTCTGGACCGAAGGAATTGTGAAGGACCGTGTGATTCGTTTGGGTTTTCGTTTGGTTTTGGTGTTTCGGCGAACGAACACACTCGCCGGATCGCACGGATCGGGATCAGCTCATCGGTTGTGGCATGAGGTGTTGGCACTTTTGGATCACAGGACTCTTTCTTCAGTTGGGCTGTTCCTTGGCAGAGGGGGGTTGACCCAGCTTCACCCCGGAGAGAAGACACCGGAAAGAAGACCCACGCTCAGTGGACTCGCAAATGGATGGGATGGGCCAACGTTGCGGAGATGTTTTGATGCAAAGCTGGTGTGGCCTTTGGAGGCCATTGAACCACACAGAATACACTCCCGCAAACTCACTTGAACCCTGAGAATGGCACCCTCAAAGATGGTTTTTCCTCTTACAAACCTGTGGTTTTCAGGGTCTATGTTAGTTTTCGGTGGGGTATCCAAAGCATTTGGTTCCACAACCCACGAGTGCAAGCGCCACTAGTTGTTTGCCATATTAAAATTCGGGCCAGCAGGGCCAGCTGCCCGCTAGGAACCTTGCAAATACATGTGTTTTCTTCAAGATGGTGTAGGATTGCCTCGAGGTGCGAGTTATGCCGCCCAAGTTTGCTTGCATTACTTGCATTTTTGTTTTTGGAATTGTTTCTGATCAAAGCAACAATCACAGCCACAGCCAGCCACAACCACAACACCAACCACAACAATCACTACAATCACCAGCACAACACCACCAACCATCACTCCCTGTTTGCCTCTGCCGCCTGCCACTGGGCCCCCTGCTGGCCGGCTGTTGGGCTGAAGCCCCTCAAAATATCAAACTACGCAAAACATGCAATGTGAGCACGACATTCAGCCATGTTTGGAAGAATACATTTCAACCAGATCTCATGTGTGCAAACCGATGGGAAGCATGAGTTGGCGGCTGGCCTTGGGATTGCTGAGGCATCTATGGTTTCGTCACGGCATTGGATGAGTGCATCCTCTCGTTGCGTCAGGGCTTAGCCATTTGGATTGCAGGGCGGAGGTCTTGAGTCTTAATGGTGGATGGGGTGTGCTGGTGAAGAAAAACCCTACCACAACTGGTTTTACGTTCTATAAGGAGTCAACATTAGCCCTAGAGATCCACATGCTTCTCAGAAGGTCCGACTGCACCCTCCTGGCGCCTACATCAGAGATTCTCCGTCCTCGTACCTCAGAGGGTATGTAGATCAGGAGATCAGGGCCTAGTAGGGTAGGAAGTGAACGTTTTCAAGACTGTGAACGTGTATCCAATCGCGATCTCGCGTCCGCCGCGGGGAGACCGCTCAACCCGCGTCCCAACAGGGAGACCGAGTCGGTGCCCCAATAAAACGACCCCTTTGGAAAATCGACTGGTCGTCTACCCGGTGAGGCGCGTACACATCGGGGGTCCCCCTACACATCCGGATGGGCTGTTCAAAGGGCTGTTGAACCTCTCTTAGGGTCGATCAGACTTGGGGTAGACTCAGATCGTTATGCAGCAAATGTCAATGTCCTTGAGGGGAACACTGAACTTGGACCATCCCTCACATGGAGAATTCTTTTCATGCGATCGTGTTCACCCCGTTGACGGCTTCTCAGATCTCAGGTGGAAGCGGGCAGCAGCGTCTACCTGATTTGTCCACTGGGATACCTCAAGGCGCCTCAAGATTGGCACCATGTGTCCGGGGGCGGATAAGGAGCAAGGACGCTACGTTCGGGGCTCCTGGCATCGCTACGAACGGAGCAAGGACGCTACTAGGGGTAGAACATGTTCAAACTTTTGCAACATGGGTGACAACACTCACTTGCAATGCGCAGCATGGGTGTTGGGTCTTGAACAAGGGTGGTAACAGGTCTTATGTTTTCAAACAAGAGTAATCCCAAGTGTTGAGTACTCTCAAGTGTTTAGCATTTGAACAAAGAGCTTTCCCTTTGAATTCAATCTAGTTGACTGGGGACAGGTCTTGCAGTGACGTGCAGCACCAACAACTGTATACTATATATATATAATTATATCTCAAACCTACCGGAGTAAAGGCTCAACCACCCTTCCATTCTGCCTACTCTAGACGTCAAGAACCCGAAGTGCGGCGCTTCATATCGCTTCATGTGGCGCTTCGTTTCACCACACGAAACGACGATACATCAAGCGCTGCCGCACTGCATGACACTGACACACGACACATGACATGACACTGCCTGGCAGACGAGACCCGATGAACCCGATCAAACCCCTCCAACTTCTTGATATCACCCCTTTTGCCTGCTAACAATTGTGCAGCTGAGACCGCTGAGTTCTCACTTTTTGCTTCATCCCCCGCCTGCAAGGCAGGGGGGGTTAGGGCCAAAGCTTTGTGCGGAAAGCTCCATCAGGCCCCAGGCTTAGATCCCTTCATCATGAAACACTTCCTCTTCCTCACTGGGCAGCTTGGCTCGAAGTTGGGTCGGTGTCATATGTTTCTCTTTTCTTAGATACCAACCTCCTGTACCAAGGCTTAAAGATTCGAAGGGCAGTGGGCTGAGTCACAGTGTGTCGGGTACGAGTTGTCGTTGGTTGGTCTGAGTCTTTCTTCTTCTTCTTCTTCTTCTTCTTATCTCCTTTATCGATTTCAAGAGGAGTTTGGGGGGCTTGACGAATCAATTCACAGAGATCTTATCTTTAGTGCGAGTCCAAGTCACTAAGAATCACACTAAAGAAGGAACCAGGCAATTTCCGGCTGGAGTTGAGAGTGAACTGGTGGCAACTGGATCCAAGGGAATCCCAAACTCGATCATTTTATGGATCTTTCTGCTAGCATGCTCGCGTTTCACAAAAGCTACCTGGACTACCCAAGTTGCAACTCCCGAACTACCTGGCCGCGGCCGTGGAGAACGCAACTCCCACGGTCAGTCGAGGAAGATTGCCAGCTTGGTGTTGCGTGTGTCCATCCAGCTGTTGATAGCTCTCTGGGTGGAAGCCATGACCTTGTACCGTCTCAAGTGTCGCTTGGGCAAGAGGAAGCGGTACGAAGCGGTGCGAAGCGTTGGCGAGCCGCGCGTTTCGGGCGTTTCAGTGAGTGCCGGAGGAGGGGGTGTTCTTGTGCGTGGGGCAGCTGGGGAGGAACTTTGGGCGTCGGTTTGGATGGGGAAAGGAGTGGATGAAAAGGCTCAGGAGGAAAAGAACGCATGGTGTGCCAGCCGTGGAGCTGTTTCTTTTGGTAAGCCACGCACACTCATATGTGAACAAGCCTTTGCTTCAAAGATTGTCGGCACGGGACTCAGCGGGGGACCAACAAAGCCCAGAAAATGAAGGTGGCGATCAAGATCTGGTCGAACTAAGACTGAATATGGAACCACAGAAAAGACTGAAGGATCCTCTGGAAGGGGGAACCCATTAATTTCCACCAATTTCAATATATTTCAATAGCATCCCTCGGATCAAAACGCCCTGGGACCAGCACCTGCGTGTATAGGCAATCTTCACATCCCCACCAGTCCCAGGACCAAGTCAAACCCTGGTTCGAAACACCTCATTTACTACTGCTTTTGCAAAAGCCCGGAAAATGAGGTCGTTCACTGACCTGTCTTTTTTGGGGGGGCATCGAAAGACACCAAATACTGTAACCACCAGCTTCCTTCGACTGGTTTGGATAGCCTCCTTCGACTTGTGGCTATCCCAAAACCTTCGACTTGGCTCTCCAATACTTCGACTTCGCCCGCTCTCTTCCGGAAAGAAAAGGACTATACTAGGGTCGGGTGAGTTAGGGCTTTGTGTATCCAAGGGGTTAGGAGTTGTCCCTCATGATGCCTCTCTCTCTCTCTCTCTCCCCCTCCCTCCCTCCCTCCTTCCTTCGTCTCCTGCTTCGCCTCAAGGCATGAAGGCTGTGAGTGGGCGAAAGCGCAGCGCTTTGTGTCTACAGGTGACATTCCTCTGGTGGATGCAGGCTGCGCTTTTCTGATGTGCAAGTTCACGCCGTGTTCGGGGCGGCCCCAAATGTTTCGCGCCAAAGCTTTCGGCGGCCAAGTACTTTCGGGGGGGCGTTCGGCGGGTTCAAGTTCCCGCTTTCTTTGGCGGGGGGCGGTGGGAAGGTGTGTGTGGGTGAGGGCTGATGTATCATCAGATGCGCCTTGAAATTGGTGCCGCTGTGCCAGTCACCGAAAGATCCATCTGAGAGGCAAACTGGCTCCTCACTTGGGTAAGACACACTCACCACTCCGCCTTGACACATCGCGTGAGGTGATGCTGTTGCCTGTGGCCATGCTGCCGGTGAGGAGCATCACACCCTTTGCACGGAAGCTGATTTGCGGCTCGGAGCGAGGGGGACCTCGGCGGGGTGTCGGGCCCAAGAGACCGCGGGAAGAGTGACCATGACCTGAGTGATCAACGACATCGTCCTTTTCCGCGCCAAACAGGTCTCATGAACCTGGGTCACCCTCCCTTTTTTTTCTGGAACTTGACACCTCGGCGCCCTTCGCTGCAAAGTTCCATCTGTTCATGTTGGTGGATCCGAATCCCATCGACCTTTCTCCAAAGAAGCGGCGCCCAAGCTGAGTTTTTGCTTTTCTGGCGAGCTACTTGCTGGGGGCTGTGCAGATCATCCGACTTCTATTGACCATCATTGCCAGGCGGGTGTTGAAGAAAGACGTGACGATTTTTGGAGAGAAAAGACCACAGAAACGGTGTTTTTTTGTTGTAAATGTCTAGAGATTTCTTGGGGTCTCCAAAAAGGATTTTCTCTTGTTTGTTTCCGACCCTTTCAGGCCATTTCTGCCAAGGAAGAGATTCTCAGGATGTTGCCCCAAGGATCCCTGGACCCTCCACCGCACGGGTCGAACCCTGGCGAAACCATCCTCCGTTGGCTTCGGATCCTTAGTGACCTGATCTCTCCGAACTGTGCAGCGTCGTTCCTTGGAACTCTCCGACCCGAAACGCCCCCGGTTTTCGTTCGCCACACCCCGCGGTGCCGCGCGCGGTGCCGCCGTGCTGGGTTTGGGGGGAACGCGTTGGAAGGGGCTCTTTCCCCCACCGGAGTCTCGGAAGCGGTCTTTCCATATGCCAACAGTGAATGGGCCTTGTTTTGGTGAAGGCCTTCAAAAAAGGATCGACAGCTTCACTCCAGGAGTGAAGAAACCGGAACTCGTGACTGTAAAAGGGCACCGTTCTTTTTACAGTACTATTTCTATTTTTTCGACAGCGATGGGCACCTGGAAACTCGAGTGGTGCGTGGTACTTCGTCGTGCGCAGTTGAATGTAACACCCTCAACCACTTGAGAACGCTTTGTGTTTTGAGATGGAAAGAAGAAACGAAGATAAAGAGGGAACTCCTCGACTGCTGCGTGGGGTGTTTACCTGATACCGGCGGGTTGGCGTAGGCTTGCGTAGGCTATTGTTTGCGTACGGCTGTTGCCTCGGAGTAGAAACAAACACAAGTCCTTGCATTTTGCCATTTGCTCGCGGCATCCCAGCAAGTGCTACACCTTAGAGAAAAAAGCTCGGCAAACAAGACACGGTTGGGCTCGAGGGTAGGATGTCGTTTTTTGAGCTGCAAGCGCCCCCCGCAGGGCAGGGGCCGGGCCTCACGACTCACGACTGCCTCTTGGATTGAAGGTTTCTGGGTTTCTCGCCATCTTCGGGGCTCCGCAATGTGAACGTCGGCTTGGTGGGTAGGCTTCGGGAATACTACGCCACCGCGGAGCGGCATCGGGACACGGAGGAGGCCTTGGAATGTCTGCAGCGTGGGCGTGAGCGGGTCTGGATCAACTGCAGCTTGGAGGTTTAAGAGATGATCATGGGTGGGTGGGCGTGATAGTTTTGGGGCTTCACTGAGCCGATGCTTTTCCAGAGATCGGTTGGGTAGGCCAACCGAACACTGGTCGCACCACAGGTCCTCGTTCCCAAAAGGCGGAGAGGAGAGGAGATGCTGGAAGGGTCGTTCGTGCCGGTTTGGGTCGATTGAGCATGAAGACCGCGCCTGCTTCAATCAGAACTATAAACCCACCCAAATCAAAGACCTTAGGTTGGTACCTCTTTCCGTGAGTGAGAGGATTCCGTTCTTCGTGTTTTTTTTCCGTTCGAAGACCGACCGCTACCGTCCGTCTTCTTTTTTTCGGTGCTTGAGGTCCAGTCCAGGTGCGGAGGTCCATGATGGGTTCAGAATTTGGGGTGTTTATATGGTATGTTTTATGGGGAATATGTGTCGCAAGTTTACCATGCTTACCCGACTTCTCAGAATTGACATGGAACATGGCAAGGTTGCCTTCATCTTCCAACTCATTTCTGCCTCACTTGCGTTTCGGCCGTCAACCCCCACACTCCGGGATACTCCTAGATACTACGGCCAGGCATGGCACACCGCATCGGTCCCTCCTTCGGCTACTTCGGTCGAAGCCCCGATCCGTTGGCCTCCGGCCGACCACCCGAGAGAGCAATACGTGGGCATGTCCTTCCTCGCTCCGGGAGTCTTCGGTGTGAAGCGAAAGAAAGCTCGCTCGCGCCAAACGACCAAACGTGTGAAACACGGACAGACCGAGCGGGACGCCCCAGGTATTGGCTACTTCGTGCATGTGATCCTGGGCATTGCCATTGGCACAGCCACCTGGCTCAAGAGTGTGAGACCTCACAGCGTCAGACATCGTCGTCGAGACTCAGCTGTTCACTTTCGAGCGATGTCCCGACTTAGCTCCGACCATCCGAAACCACCGGTCCGAACGGCGTCATACGGGTCATGACGCCGGGCCGCCCAGGCCCGGCCGCTCCCATTCGCGGTTTTTGACACCTAGAGATCGGTTTAGCAAAGACATTTGAGGAGAGTTTTCTTTTTTGAGGTTGGATTTATACAAACATTGACATCACAAAAGGTGATCAAATGTCTGGTGTAGGCATTCTGCTGGTTGGTCGTAGACTCGCCGTAGGCATTTTGACACACTGGTTTGTCGTAGGCGCTTGCCGTAGTCAACTTTTCGTTTCCTTTTTTTAAAGGACGTTTGCTTACAGCAGTCCATTTTGACCCCTTGATGAAACAAGGGCAAAAGCTACTTGCAGGGAACCCTTTGCTGAGGCACTGAGGACAGGGACGAAGAATTCCTTTCACGAATTAGTCTAGGACATGGAGACTAGAAACTCTTGATATGTGTTCAGTGAATTCCGGTGGCATGTTTAGAGGCCATACATCATCTTCATTTTCTGTGCGGAACCCCGTAGGCGAAAATGCTTCACTTGACCCTTGGCCCACTCTTATCGATTTGTAGTGGATGTGAAGCGTCAATGAGGTGGTACGGAAGCAGCAGCAGCAGCACCAGCAGCAGCAGCGGCAGCAGCAGCAGCAGCAGTAGCAGTAGCAGCAGTAGCAGTAGCAGTAGGAGCAGTAGCCAGCGGCAGCAGCAGCCAAAAGCCAACAAAGTTGAACCAAAACCTCACATTCGTAGGCCTCTCCATAGGCAAAAGGTGCTGCGCATGCGTGTCATAGGCTCACACTGTGGAAACATAGGCAAACCGTAGACTTTGCCGTAGGCACCCTTCAATGATGGTAGCCTCTATATTGAAAAAGAACCCTGCTCATTTCACCTCTGCAGCCAACAAAATACACCTAGAAACGCACAGTCTTTCGCTCCCGATGGCTGAGATCGTGGTGATTTCCAATGAGCAAGCCTTCAACACGCGGGATGAGGTGGACAGTGAAGACTTCCCGTTCCTTCTTCTGTTGTTTAGATGGGTGTTTTTTCTTTTCTTTTGTTGTGTGTGAAGCTGGGGAGTGAATAGTAGTAGCAAGTAAATGCTGCAAACCACTGCCCAGCAAGATGCGGAGGTGAAGCTGTTGGAAGAGATTGAGCTAAAAACGCTCTTGGGAGATGAAGGGAGGTGGTGCTGGAGCGTGGAAGGTGTCAATTCTGGGGTTTCTGCTTAGAAGACAAGAATGATCTCACCAGCTCTGTCGAAGAAAGTGCAAGTTAAGATGCCAGAAAAGAGAATTTCGGGGTTGATTCGAGCTGATTCAGGATCTTTTTTTGTTTTATCTTGACCGAGCGCATAAGGCGAAGCTTTTTCCAACCTAAGCCCCAAGCAGAAGCTTTAGCCATGCAATGGGATCAAGGCCGCAAGCAAGATCTCAAGCACGAACACAGCATTGGCTCCATCACGGTTTCCTCCCTTTTGTTTTCTTTCCTCCCAAGTCTTGGCGGATCCAGCGCCCCACTTTACCATCGCCCGGCTTGAAACAGCGCGCCCGGCGGCTCAAGCCGCCGGCGGCTCAAGCCGGCTTTCGTTCCGCGAGCGGATCTCATTGAGGACACTGCTGCGGATCTCATTCATCCTTCCGGCCTTCCATATCTTCGCAGCTCGGAAGAACGACCCCCCGCTGCGTCGCCGCGATCGCCGGACACCGCGGCGTTCCTTTGTTCGTTTCCCAACACAGACCGGCCGCGACAAGGCACGAGCTTCGGCCACAGCGGACCTCGGTGGTCTTCTTTTTCTCCAAAAGGATGGAGCCGTTTTTGTCGATGATCTGCTCTGGTCTAGGGCTTGGTGGAACTGGAGGTCCAGCATTCGAAGTTCCGTGACGAAGCAGTGAATCCATCCACCTGACTTAGTCAATGCATCCACTACCAGTGAAGGGGTTTCTGTCATTTTCCAGGACTCTCAGGGATTTGAAGGTTTTGGAGGGAAGATAGTTCCGGATTCCTTCCATCCTCTTCCAAATCCCATCGATACGGACCCAACGACCGAAAAGGTCCGTCGTTTCAAACCCTGAGAGTGCTGGAAATTGACGCACATGAGTCACATGACGAAAATCCCACTGGTAGTAGTGGATGGATTGACTAAGTAGGTGGATGGATTCACTGCTTCGTCAAGTCATGGAGGTTCTGAAAGACATGGAGATCACCTCGTAGGCAGAAACCGAGTTCATAGGCCTTCCCCCCCTTTTCGGCCGGTCCGTCGAGCCTGCGACGGATGCGGACGGCACGACCGAAAGCACATGGTCTACTGCGGGTCCCTTTGATGGCTCAAAAGTGAAGAAGCAACGGGGACCTTGGTCTACTGCGGTCTGCTGAATGGGTCATGGTCCTTTTTGCATCATGGTCTACTTCTTTTTTCATCAATCAAGGCTGCTCCTGTGTTTCATGGATGAATGAAACATCATGGTTTCTCCGGCGACCGAAACCGCATCGCTGAGATCTTGATCGGTGGGCCTTGGGTCCTGGGCAATGCGAACGCCACCGTCGCGCAGCAGAGCCAGTTCTGCGTCTGGCGCCGCAAGCGGACGCGTCACTGGGAAGGAAAGAGATGGAAAGAGGGGTTGCATCGTTCTTAATTCGATTCAAAGGGGTATTGGTGGGCTCCACCAGCGGAGGATGGTTAAAAGGCTTGGTGCCAAGGGCTTCTCTTCATGATCGGAAGGTGTAGACGCTGGGGTAAGGATGCCATGATGCTGTACCCTAAGAAGGGGATGCAAATGCTGGAGATGGATGTTGGAATAGATTTAGGAGTTCAGAGCGTGCTTCCCCAGTGGTTTTTGGGTTTCACGCTCTTTACTCAGTGACTTTTCATGTGATGCGACAGTTGATGGTTCGATTTTTCACGTGTGACGTACTCTGCGTGGATGCTCGACACACGTCACATGTCCAGACAGAGACTACTGCACGTTGCGGCGCACGTTGCGCGCACGTTGCGGCGCGAGATGAGACGTGCATTTTTGGTGATGAAAAACCCAGAAGTGCTTGGAGCACTTGCTCAACTGCGAGAAGCGCATCGATGTTGAGAACCCTTTTTCTTCTTGTTACGTTTGGCCCACCCCTTCTGAATGACGCCGTCGTGAGACCTCTGCTGACATTTTTTGGGGGTGTCAACTGCTTGCTATGCTCACACCTCGGATCTTCAGAGTGGTGACGTATGTTATTTCTCCCCATCTCAATGAGTCTATGTACATGTTCAATCATTTTCAGAAGTGTTTTATATTGTCCGGATGGAACACAGTTCTGCGCTACAGCAAATCCTGCAACAAGTGGCTTTTCATCAATGTTAGGTGCCGCTTCTGTATCTGGTTCTGGACCCCTCTGGTTCTGGACTTCTTTTAACTTGAACAAAGCAACCCGAAGCCTACCGCTCCTCCATCACTCCATGAGTTTTCCCTTCCCGCTGCCGCTTTTTGAACACATGGACCACAGCTCAGGTGAGTAGCTTCTTTTTGATAGACGGAAGACGGAATTCCTTCACTCGACCCAAACAGCGATGGAAGACATCTTCCTTCAAGTTCGGACTCGGATGTGATGAGGAGGAACTCTTCCACAGGGTTCATTTGGGAACAACACCCCTCGACCTCTGCAGTTCGAACCCCTGGAAGAAGGACATTAGACATCATTCGACCACTCATGACCGGTCTGGGCTAGGGGTACTCATTGCCCATTTTTTACACCTGTAAAGGTACCCAGAGGCTGGAGCCCAGCTGGCTGGAGAAGGTCCGCGACCTCTCCCAGCGTGGCATCACTGTAAAGGACACTACATCCGGACGCCGCGGACCCCGGTGCTGGCGCCGTGGGTTGATCTGCCCTTCTTGCTGCGGTCAGACGCAGCTAGAAAACGGTGCAGCCACAGCTGCCATTTGTTAGAGGGGGACAGCGAACCAAGTTTCTTTGAAAAGACCGGGAGACTTCGTAGATCGAAGATATCGAAGATATCCAAGATGTAAAACTCGAAGCTCGTCGAGCCTTCCTCGGTGAACATCATCACACTCAATCTCAGGGACCTTGGCCCCAAGGAAACCCCGTCACTTCCGTTCTCCAACTGTCCGCTTTCCGCTTCTTCAAAAGCATTCCCCTTTTCACCTAGTTTCAAACGTTTCTTTCCTTTGGGTTTTGTTCATCCTCCTCCTCGTCATGATCAGCAGGACCTCTTGGCTTTCTACAGACGTCTTGGGAAGGACGGCGCTGCGCGCGCTGCGCTGCGTTGTTTGATGCGTCGATGGCGTCGATGTCGCGCCGCCCCCTCGGGCGGCGTTCATGCCGGGTGTCGATTGGTCTTAGGGAGAAATCGACCCGTTCTGAGACCCGTTCAGAAGGGTAGACTAGACCTCCGTCGTTCTGCGTAGAACAGGGCAAGAGAACTCGGGGGGGTCCCACATCGGCAGCTTGTTTGAGACCATGCAGAGGTTTGGATGTGTGGTTTCTGGAGATTAGAAAAGGGGGTTATATAGGTCGAAATAAGAGTGATGCAAAGGAAGGAATTCAGCAAGTGGCAGACAGTGGCAGATTAGTGGATGTTTCCACGGGTCATTTGATCAGAACATTGGGTGATTTCATACAACTCCTACGAAACATATCGTTTCTATACTCCATAGCAGTCCCAGTGTGAGCAGCACAAGCCAAACTTCTGTCACAAGAGAATCAGTCCAACATTGGTGAAAAGAGATTGCAGCATACTCAGACGTTTTCCACCTCCTCCCAACATATGGAACAGTGGTCATTAGATCATCCATTCCTTTTTTTTGGTGCGTCGATCCATCTTCCTTTCATCGGGCTGGGTGCGAACATTGGTAGATCGATCCCCATCCATCCTTGGGGTGGTCGGCGCGGTCGAGCACTCGATGACCGGACCTGGCTCTCGTTCTCCTGAGCTTGGTAAGAGGTAGAGGACTTCAACAGCCAGTGTGCAGATCTGGCAGATCTGTGCAAGATCGAGCACCCAGAATTTCTGGGTTCAGGTGGACCCCCCAATTCAGGTTCTTTTCTGGTTTCCATTGGTGCAACAGGCTCTACATGGCTCTTTTCATGGCTTCGACCATCCCATGACATGCCCCAAACCGGGCCCAAACCCGCACCGCCCATCCGCCAGGACCTGATGCCTCACTTCGATCCACAAGCGCCTTGCTGTTCACGGATCCCATCCTGGAAGACACTCCAAAGACGGTGGACCGGGGCGCAGCGCAGTTCTTTTCCCAAACACGCCCAAACACTCCTCAAGGGTTTGACTCACTTCGTCAAACACGGAGAGAACTTGGAGGAACCGGCATTTTTGGGGCAACTTACCAGGTAGAGGTAGTTGTTTTTTTTTCTTTTTCTGGGGGGAGGTTTGCGGTTTAGGGGTTGGGGGATGGGGAATGGTGTGCGCAACAGCTGAGGTGGGTGTATGTGGTGAAAGTGCCTGTAATTGAAGTGAGGAGTCGAGGAGGTGAAAGGATATGAAAGGCAATAGCGTGCGAGCGCAGAGCATTCGAGACAGGATCTACCAAGTGCTTGTATCACACACTGTCAAGAGATCCTAAGAATCTGCCCTCATACAGTACCGCACGCCCCTTTTTTCAAGCAAGTCTCTTGGAAATGGCGACTGAGGTGAAACCAAAGGATTACTCTTGAGGATGGGTTGGACTTTTACTGGTAGAGCAACTCTTGAAGAATCCTCATTTGAAGAAGTAACAATCCCTATAGTATACTCCTGACAGATCAATCTACTCTTTGTCAACATCATTTGGACTCCACAACTCACCTGTCCAGCGTCGCCGTGTTCACCAAAAAATCAGTAAACCGCAAACCTTCGGCTTTCACTCACAGAAAAAGTCGGAAGAAACATCCAACACCGCCACAGTCGTTCCGCTGCGGGCGAGGTGCACACGACCCGCGACGTGGTTCGCTGCGGGGTGATTCCCGTCACGCGCCGCTGGGTGAAAATGCGGTATGGGTGGGGCCTGTCGGCAGGAGAGAGAAGCCCCATGAAATGTTTGAGATACCTTCATGCCAGAGGTTCGAAGATAAGACAATCCAAGCAAGTAATTGAGGCTCAATTAAGTAAGGGTTTCGGAAGAAGACAATCCCTGATGTACTGCGAGGCGAATACATTTGGACTTGGCTTCTTACACTGAGCACCACTCGTGCCCAGACATGATGTAGTGCAACCGCTTCGAACCCGGAACCCGCGAGGCCTCAGTTTTCTTGGGATCACCCCCCCTTCAATCCACCTCGGAATGCCACATGTGGTGAGCATTTCTTTCAGATTCACGACTTCCAAATTCTTTTTCTTTGATTGCTTCTGACCCTTTTTGGGGTTCTCCGACATGGTGTTTTCCAACCAAGTTCTCCTCCGCCCTGTTTCAAAGAAGCGAAAGAAGTGATCACCCGGCAATCGAAAGAAGGACTCTGCATGGCTGTGCTGACCTTCAGTCACATGATTCCCCCACACATTGGTGAGTTTTTTGTAGCATCAACCCAAGAGAGACTCAAAGAGACTCAAAGGTTTAAGGGAGAAGCCAGGACTTCGCTAACGCCATGGTGGTCCCACTCTCTTTTGAAGTCCTAGGGCAGTCGGGCTGCGCTTATGCCGTGCACATTGCAGATGGGAAGCCTGTGCCAGTGGCTTGGATCTTCAGAATTGGACAAAGGCCCTTCGGAGAAAGAAAAATGAAGATGGACTCCCACTACCAGCACAGGTGGAACCACCCGCCTGTTAGGGTCCCAAAACGCCTGGCCGGGAGGGTCCTGGTAGAGAGTTGGGTCTTATTACAATTCTCCGTAAAAGACTGCACAGTCCCACAACTTGATCTCTGGAGACTATCCAAGAATAGCTCAATAAACTATACAAAGTGCATGATGGAGACAAGACTTAGAGATGAACGCAGCATGAAGTGGACGAAGAAAATAACATAATCTAATACTCACTCTATATTTGGACCCCGAAACGAAATTGTTTAGTTGTGCTTTACTTGCAATTGCAAGCATCGTTGGATATATATATATTGTTTTTTTCGACCCCTTGAACGTGTACATTTTTCAGGGGGTGAATATAATTTGGACACCCTGAAAGATGTACTATTTCAAGGGGGTCGAAAAAAAGAGTGACTATTTACAATAAACTAAACTTTACACTTTGCGTGACCGACCCAACACTTAGAGATGATGTAGTGGATGCATAATATATAGACAAGTGTCTATAATCACTCTATTTTTGGACCCTCTTACGTATTCTTAGGTATGTCTCCCTATAGTGACTCTTTTGTTGGACACTCTTACAAATTGTTGGCAAGCATTGTTGGAGATATTTTTTTTGACCCCTTGAAATTGTACAATTTTCAGGGGTCCAAATCTGACTAATTTGCAGGCATGTAACAATAAACTATACACTTGCAACCAGCTAATGCATATGCTAACGTAATAAGCTAGGCTATACACTTGCAACCGACCGATGCATATGATGCAACATGAAAGCTGTGTTAAGACATAGATTGTTGAGAGAAGTTGTATGTTTGCCTCTCGTGGACGTGGTGATGCAAATGATACGACAATGGGAAATATAGTCAGGCATAGATGATTTGTGAAAACGTTTAATGCCTCAGCACCTTTGGTGCGGGCGGATCTCTGCATACCTTTTTCCAGCAAACAAGGCGAAGATTTTGCAACGAATTCGCCCCGGGCTTTAGCTTACTTCTTTCTCTCTTTGCATTCCTGATTTCGCACTCCGTCCGCAACCTTGCTGTGCCATTTCTGCATGGGTGACACCACATGGACGGTTCCACGTCTGCAACACAGGCTGCGCAATTCCTTGGACTCACCGCTGTCATGGAATGAGTGACGCAGCTTTGGCCCCCGGAAAAAGATTCGACGCAGCAAAAGTCTCAGAGAAAGCCGTGATGATCCAACGCCCACTGAAAGGAGTTCTCGAGCAGCAAAGGTTGAACCGTGAACTACGGCCCACCGAAAAATATTGATCAGTCGAGGGCAACGGTTGAAGTTGCATCAGTCTCCACTTGGGAGGTTTAGACAGCAATGGAGGAAATCTTGGGTCACCTCCACGAAACCGCGTGCAGCAGATGTGGGAGGCACAAGGGCCTTGGCAAAGCGGAGGGTTTGGTCCATGAACCTGCCGCGAGAACGCGTGCGTGTGGTTAGACGCTTGTTTGGTCGCAGTACTGTTTGCTGTTTTGTTTGTTTCGTGTTCGCCTTCGCAGGGGATAGACTGTTATTTTTTGTTTTCGCTCCTGCGTGAGAGCCACGATGTGTGCTGCAGGTTCATGCTTGTTGTTGCCCCTGTGGTTTTTGGTCGGCCAAAGTCTTGGAAAGTGAGAGCCACAAACTTTGATTTTTCTTCAGGGCTGCCACAAGGATGTGCTTTGGGGCCGAAACCTGCCCTAACCCCAGTTTTGTGTTCCCAGGGCGGCGGCGAACGAAGGAGGCCCCAACACCTCCATGCACTCCTCCGAAGGCGCAAGACGAAGCACGCTTGGGATACGCATGCCTGGAGAGACCGCTAGACGACATCCGGACGTTGTTCGAAGACAACAAACCACTGGCCAAGTGGAACGAGCTGCGAAGCAACAGAAACGCCCAAGAGAAATCGAAACCAAAACGCTGGACTCTGACTCTATGTGACTAAGGAGCTGACCCGTTGGCGCACTTGTGGGCGGAAGAGCCGTAAGGACACACCGGACCACGGACAAAGCGGCGCGCCGACCGTTCAAACGACCCCGCCCAGATGTGGAACCAGTGGAGCGCGAAGAGCGGGAGCGAACGGGCGGGCGCGGCTGTCGCGGCCTTCGGACAGAAGTGAGCAAGGAAGGGGGTAGGGGATCTTGTCGGTAGCGCAAGCCACGGGGCGGTTTCTGGAATGCGCGGGCCCTCACAGTAGCCAAGCTGCGGGCTGCCAGACGAAAGCCCCAGCCTACCCAGCTAAGGCCTGTCACCATTGTGAGTGGCTGTCGCTGCGACTGCTTGCAAGCGGTCGTGGACACGGTTGGACGTCGGTGTCCGGCGATGGCACGCCTGCAGTGGGTCGCCGCGACCTGAGGCAAAAAACTGACAACCCCACCGCATCTAGGAGCAAAACCTCGATGGCGTTTGTAGCTGGCGAGCTGCGAGCTGTTCCGGGAGCTGGAGGCCATTTACGTCCGGAGGGCTGCAGGGGAGGCGCCCGCCAACTTGCAGGCGAATCGGGAATCCAAGCAGAGAAGAAGCACGCGCGTCAGGCTGGCTGAGGCAGACTTGAAGAAGGCCGGCATGACCCGCCAATATGCTAGGTTCAGGTGGGCTGCGGATATGTGGGGGGGAGTGGCATGCCTTGCGGGAGGCACAGGAAAAGTATGAAAAAGTCAAGGCCAAACAAAAAGCGCGCCCATGGCAAAAAAATCTCCATGAAAGCATGAAAGCATCCAGTACATATTTCATCCAAACGTGTCGATCACCAGGTTGCAGGGAAACCGAAACACTTGGAAACCCTGGCCCTTGAAGAGCTGGGCGAAGAGGACACAAAGGGCGACCTGCTTTGAAAACCTTACCCCACCACAGCCCAGTCCATCAAAATCACCATTTCGCTGCGACTTTATCTCTCATTGTATATGGCGTCTGGTGGTCAATCCTGAGCAGGGCCCCTCCTCAATCACCGTATCGGATCATTTTTATGCGAGGTGCGCAACATGGTGACCCATACCTGGGAGAACCTCTTCCGCGATCTTGTCGCTGCTGTGGTCGCGGATGCGTTGGATGAGAACACCTTCGACGTGCTGCTTGGAACGAACGATCGTATAAGAGTAAATGGGGGGTCCCTGCGAACTTGTGAACTTTACAAATCTTTTGCAGGGTGAAGCAGCTTAACATCCTGCCCCTTGCCCCCAAGAAGAGCCCCTTCGCCCCCAACTGGGGGGCTGTGTTTGCGGGCAGAACTTTCCCAACAAAAGACACACGAACGACGACACCCGCGCGACAACACGAAGGGTGTGCGTTTTTTGTGAGCGCCTGAGGATCGCCCATATCTTGCAAGAGGATCCCTCCTTGCTGGAACAGATGCTGGGTGAGGCGAAACGGTGCGATGTGCGCGGATCTTTCGTGTGTGGAAGGGGGGACCCTCAAAAAACATTCGACTCTACTCAAATCCACGAGGGTCGCCGTGGTAAACCTGTAGAGTTCCAAGAAAAGATCCGGCTATGCCTCAAGGATTTCCGACTTTGCGGGCTCCTTTTCTTTACACTTTTGTTTTCATTTTATTGGGGCAGGTTTTCGTCTGGGTTTTCCCTCCCACCGGACATCTCCGTCGGTGAGTTTGCACACCGCGCCAGGTGAATCAGCTGCACGCGACCTATTGGATTTGCGCCTTCGCGGCCCCTTGGGCGTGGGGGGTGAGTCCTTCAGTGGTTTTTTGGAGGGCAAACATCACACCACTTTTCGGAACTCGTTTTGGGTGTCGATCTTCTCTGCTTCGTTTTCCGTACGAAAGATGAGATAAACAAGTAAGACCGAGCCACAGTTCGGTACGCAACGCGTGCCCCTTCTTAGACCTTAGACCTTGGTTCCCCAAAGCATCGAAACTCTGAACTCATTGAACCTCCGCCATTTTTTGGAGGTTTGACTCATCCTATGGATCCATTTCTTCGATGCATCGAATGCATCGAACCTCCGCCATGGCATGGGGCGACCCAAAAGGCTGTTGGTCTTTTCGGCGGTCGATGTTCAGATCCGGACACATCCGACGTCTTCCGCCCTTCAGGTGAATCAACACACCAGCATTTGCAACATCAATCCCGGCCGCAACGCTGCTTGGCACGGGTGACGTGCACACGCGTGGTGGTCTGGGGTTTGATTGTGCTTGGTGGAAGATTGATGCCATCTAGCAGGGGTAACCAGTGCTTCATTGGAAACAAGATGATGGAACAGGGTCTTTCATCAACTCCAAAGCTTCCGGAGCACCGCCTGCAGTGTTTTCCGGCCGTTTGGGTGGCTCTAAGGTGGACTCGCTGACCAAGCAACCCTATCCGCTCTGCGACTGCCGCACCCCCAAGTTCCTGTTGCTCGGCTGTTCCACACGTGGCACGTCCATCCTTGTCCCTGGGGCTTGGTGCTAAAAGAGCCAGCGGAGTTGAAGACTCGTGGGGCTTGGGGAAGTTCATTCTTCCCTGATTTTTCCGGTGATTTGGGGTTGCGACGCAACGCAGGCCGGTTCCTCTTTTGAGCGAACATTTGGTCCAGTGTGAGTCAGAGATTTCGCTCTGCCAGAAGTGATAAGCTTTGGAACACTTGTGAGCCTAACGCAGAATTCCTGAGCAGGTACGACCCATAGACCTTGACCAACGTCACTTCCCAACTCCCAACTCCGGACTGCCGGCTCAGGAACAACACGCCACCCCTGGATGGCAAGGGTCGTTCCATTCAGTGCTCCTTGGCTTTAGAGGTTCGGGCCCAGCCGAACATTTTGGGGTAAGGTGTCTCATCTCGGGTCAGTTGTTCATTTCAGTGGGTCATTGTTGCTGTCCACCCTTCTGTTCTTTGCCTCACCGTTTTGGCTGCATAGACTAAGACTGTTCTATAGACAAGGACGCTACTAGGGGCTCCTGGCCTTACTACTAGGAGCAAAGGACGCTACTAGGGACTTGACTACCAGGAGCTCCTAGACTATAGACTAGACTAAGTCTATTTCAACCGTCGGAAGGTGAACTGAACAAGTTCGATCACATGATGGCCATCATCGCCGCAGACAATCGCCACTTCGCGGAGGCGGATGGGTCCTCGATTTTTCGCCACGCCAGAGCAGAGATCAACAGCTTCTACTTGAGTCTACCAGATGTGCTGTGCATGTCCAAGATGTTTCTGAGAACGGTCTTGTGCTGGACGCCGATTTACACGTGTTTGATCCTTACCTTCGCATGCCTCACCGGCGCTTCAGGATCCGCTTGGTGTGGTAGCTTCATTCAACCTGAGAAGCCATTTTACAGAATTTCAGTATTTGATCTCAGTCTGCTTGTCGCAGTTATTTATATACTTGTACCCGCCCGTTGATCCGGCTAGCACCAGCACTGACCACTGAGCAGTGCAGTCACTCCCACCTGTGCAGTCACTCGCAAGCTTTTTCTCACCCTCCACTCCCTACCTTTGATGGCATCAAACCATGCCGTCTTCACCCTTCCATCAACCCAGCCGCGCGCCGCGCGCAGCTCGTCGTCAGGTCTTGGCCATCGACCAAGACTTCGGTCTGTTCAACCGCGCCTGGTGCGTGGCGGAGCTGGCGGAGGCGCGCTTGCTGCGGATGCCACAGCACGTGCCCGAAGCTGCAGGGTGAGATGGCGGTGGGCCTGGTGGAAGGAGGGGGCTCCAAAAGCATTTGTTTCGCCAAAGTACTTGTGAAGGGCTTCTCCTTAAGGAACTATGTCAGCCACGTCATGCCATCATTTCACCACCATCATCATCATCATCATCATCATCATCATCACTCGTTAGGACTGTGTGGAGAAACCTGTATGTAAATATTTGTGTATGCATGTCAGTCTACACATGTATGCATGTCAGTCTACACAGATGTAGGTGAACATAGAATGTAGGCATGCATAGATGTATATAAGGTAGGTGTGCATCTATAGTGTACTCTCGATGTACTGTAGGTTTCAGATTGTTTCAGCTTGATTTATTCAAGACCTAGCCAGGCTTGCTGCTCGTTCGTCTACTGAGCCACCTGACATATCAACTCCAGTGAGGTTGTTTTACATCCAGGAACCGCTGCCAAAAAGGAAGCTGACCTGTAAAGAACCTGCCGAGCTTTACATGTTGAGTCTTCCGAACCACTACTGAGCTCATGTGGATGGAAGAAAAAGCTTCCGACTGGTTGAAAGGGACTTTGAAAGGAACCTCGTTTTCTTTGCCCGAGCCTTCTTTCCAGTGGATCCATCCACTCACACATCCATTTTGTAAGACTGTGTGATCAAATGGCTTTTTCTCAAAGTGAGCATCCCAGCTCAACCACGGCTTGCTCACACATCCACATCCACTTCCATCCCCCTGGTCACCCAGCATCGCGCAGCACGGTGCTGAGGTGAAGATCCCCTCCAAAAGCGCGTTGGCCCGGCACATGGACGGCCTTCGACACCTCCGTGTGTCGCCTGGCAAGGAAGGTGTCGGTGGATTCGTGAAGACTGCTCGGCGAGGATGAAGACGGCGGAGGTCACTGAGGTGACGATGGATGAAACGGCTGTGTTTCGTCTTCTTTCCAGTGGTGAATCATCCAACAAAACTAGTTAGTCCCATCAATTCCAGCGGTGTTTTAGGTGAAGGTTTTGGAAGAGGAACGTCTAAACGAAATGCATACCCAATCTTGGTTAGCCGAATCGTGTATTTCCACACTATGGGAGAAAAGAGTCAGAAAGAGCTAGACGTGGCCGTCTTTGTGTTGGCAATCCCCAAATCAGACATCGGCATCCTCCGTTTTGATGTGGGCCTTCACAGGTCCTTCAGAAGAATCACCAGCCGATTTACCCAGTCTAAACTCCATCCGCACTATCCAACATGGTTGGAACGAATCACAGTCAGGAAACTTTGCCAGCGTGTTTCTTCAACAAAGCCTCATAACAAAGCCTTGTAAGAGAGTCTCAACACCTGCAAGAATCACCAATCCCAAACCTTCTCACCGCCCACAACCTTGCTGTTATCTCTCTCTCTCGAAGCCCTGGCTTCCACGAAGCGCCGCGCAGCGAAGCGGCGAGCTGGCACGGTCGAGGCAGGAGCTGCGCGCCACGCGGCCCGAAGACGTCCAGGAGATCCTGTCGAAGATCCCAGACTTCGTCGCTCGATTAACTCGCTAGCGCTCGGAATTTCGGGTGGGGAAATGAAGGTGGAATGCGGGAATGGCTGAGTGTGGCGCAGTCAGCGGTCGACAGAGGTTTTGGCCACGGTTTTTCGGATTGGCTCCCGGATAACACCAAACAGGACCTGTGGATTGGCTCCCGGACCGCACAGTCCGGGTCACGGCAGGATTCGCATCCCGAAAGCCTGGTTTTCCTCGGCCTTCCGGCTGTGCATCCTTGTCCAAAAGGTCCTCATGGTGGAAGTGGAAAACGAAGATTTTTTTCTGTCGTCTTCTCGGATGAACATGGTCAATCAATCCGTGAAACGATTCCGGCTGTATCAGAGCTTGAAAGTTGGGAATGCGGTCCGCGATATTCTTTTTTCATCTTTTTTCGGTGTTCGCCAGATGTCGGGGGTTTTCGCCAGTAGCTACAAACGCCAAAAGATGAGGGGGTGTAGCAGTGACGAGAAGGACATCCTCGAGCAGTGACTTTCAAGATGGTGGTGTAGCTGAAGGTCAATATGTGTGTATACACACAATTAAAAGTCACAAAAGAATATATATATATATATATATTATATATGTATATTCTAATGCATATATGCCTCTTCACTTGTACTAGATCGGCCTTGGGTTTGCACATGTTCGCACCATTGGACGCCATAGAGACAGATCCATGTTGCGCTTCGTCTGTTCCGGTCCCACAAGTGAATGTCTCGTTTCAAACGACGCGTGGACCGACTGAGACGTTGTGGACTCGCTCCGGACCTTCCGAAATCTGAGGAAAGCTTCAACCAGGCGTTGCATGAGCTTCTGGGCCATTTGTAGATGCCCAACCCAACTGGGCCAATGACTTTGGAGCGCAACAGGTCACTCCGTGTTCCTTTCGTCGAAGTACGAAGCCCTTGGCGCCAGTTTGCCCCCAGCCATTGTCCTATGAACATCAGGTCCAAACTTGCCCCCAGAAGTGTCAAGATCCTGACAAAGGTCCGTGACACTTCCCCGCTTTCCAGCCAACAACCTGGTCCGGGAGGCCTTTGACTGGGCCACAAGGCCTTCCTGGCCTTCCTGCGAACCCCAAAGAACCAGAAACCGGTTTGTTCCAATATGGCAATTGAGATCCTCTACATATAGGACATGGCTGCTTGGGGAAACATCCATTTCTTTCCCGTTTGGGTTTCCAGGTTTGACCGGTGCGTGTGACAAAAGGGGACCTCATGCTCGCCATAAAACTGGCATCATATGCCTACCTTGACCTCTAAATGATATCATCCCAGGTCACCGACCGGTCCTTACAACTCAGCGTCGCGATGTCCCGTCGGTGACTCGAGTCGGGTCCTCACTCCGGACGAAGCTGGCGAGTGGCCCGAGCGGGCCGGATCGGGCTCGCTGGTTGTTTTGGTTCCGATTTCTCAGGCTGATCTTTGATCCTCAGCTGGGTATTCTGGCCAACTGGAGAGACCTCGATGCCGCCCGACAGATGGAAGAAGTAGGCCTGGCCTGGGTCGTCCTGAAGGGTGGAGTGACTGGAGGCGAAGGGTGAAGGGAGGCAGGACTTTTCACGTCAGCAAGTCGAAGAATGAGTCTAAGTTGGATCAAATGCAAGCCAGGGTCGTGTTTTCTTTCATTTTTTAACTTTCAATCCATTGTTTTTCCATCATTTCATTGGCCTGCCTCAGGGTTGGACTTCCTTGCTTTGTTTGGCTCCCTCAACCACCGCCCCTGTTCCACCACCTTCAGCACGCCCGTCGCCACGTCGCTCCCTCCGGAGGCCGGCTGCTGCGCTGGGGGCGTGCTGATGCTGGGAGGGGCTTGGTTTGGAGCTCGTGGTGATGACCTGACGATGGGAAAGCACACCGGAATGCCTTCGTCTTTGAGAAGGCCTGTTTTTGCCGCGTGGGGGGAGAGTCGCTGTTGGGTCCAAAAAGTCGGACTGCGGTGTTGGGGACGGTTTGCCGCGAGGTCGGATGGGGCAAGAGCATGTGTTTCCGTGAGAGGAGTGCGGTTTTAGCGGTTTTCGGCAGACCGGAACCGCACCAGGCGGACCGGGACACCGGTTTTTCCTGCAGAACCATGAACAGCGACGCTCCTAGACATGGTATGGTCAACCTGTCGGGGTGAAAAGGACCTCCGGCCTTTGACCCATAGCCATGCGGAGAGTGAGACGAGCGGAGAGCGTTTTTCGTGCTTTTCCATGTTAGAGATGTTAGAGGCGTCCCATCCCTCGCACTGTCAGAGCTTGGTGTTTTTTTTCATGACATGGCGGGTGCCTCCATGAATATCCGCCTCGGCCGACAGTGAGAAGGGTTGACCTGTTAAAAAGACCACTACAAAGGAAGGTTGATCTGGTCTTGTAGTCTAAAACCCTTCGTAGGACTCCCTTGGTGGAGGAAGCGGTGGATCACCGTTTAACCCTTTTTGGGCGGGAAAACCACCGGTTTGCCTTCAATTCCTATTATTCGGTTGGGAACATAGAGGTAACGAACGTTCGGTTCACCCGGGTGGCCCCAATACCTGGATCTTCCAACCGTGCCAACATGTTCTGCCGAACTTCTATCAGTCAAAAATCAGCCGCTTGTGAGGCAAAGAAGTTGCATAGTTGGAAGATCCAGGTATCCCAGACACTCCATGGGACCGCCATATTTGCCGATCAGTTGGGGTGGTGCCAGGGGGGTCAATGTATACGCATATATGGCAGTCCCATGGAGTGTCTGGGTATGGTATGATGGATGGTCAACGGCCCCACCACCTGCGCTGAAGGAGGCGAACGGCGGAGGGGGTGCCCAGCTTCGTGCCGGCCGGCGAGGTAGTGATTGGGATGGAAAGCGAACTAGAACTGATGACTTTTTCACTTTTCAGGCTCAAAGAATGATCTGGGAGAACAACCATGAGCAAAGAATTCAAAAACAGAGGGATGATGAACAAGACCCTTCTTTCGCCAAAAAACAACACATCAGAAACCACCTTCCATGCCAGTGGACTTGACTTCTCACCGTGTGTCTCACGGTCAGCCGGTCAGCCGCACGACGCGAGCGAGCGTTTCACAATTTCACAAAGGGCTCGAGTGAAGCGCGGTTTCTGGAGGAGTCTCCTCCTCCGCGGTTTCTGTGCGCGTTTTACAGCTGGTGATTCGGAAGAAAGGAGGAGCCTGACTCCCAAGTTGGACCAGTTAGGAGCTGAGTCAGGACCTTCAGGGTCTACCCAGTATGACTGGGTCATGTCACATGACTTTCTTCAGTCAAAAGGCTTTGTGGTCTGGGGGTGAGAAGCATGAAGACAGTGAAGATAAGCTCAAGTAAACCCTTGGGGAGATCTAGAGTTCCATTTGTTTGGGTTTGTTTGGGGTCCATATACCTGAAGCCGACCAGGTCAGAAGTTGATCCTTCTTGTTTAACATGGATGTTTTTCTTGTCAATCATCGAGGTCATGAACCATGGCCCAGGTCTGGCCATGTGGTTTCGGCGGAAGATGGGGACGAAGTCGACATCACCAACGAGGTCTGGCAGACCAGAGGACTCCCAACTCCGTGTGAATCCATTCATTTCAAGGAACCCATTCAATCCATTCCTCCACGGTTCTATCTGGGATCGCAAGCTTCATCCGCTCCTGAAAGCCATTGACCAAGCTGCTGAAAGCGGCGATTTCGCCCGCCCCGCAGAAACAGAGCAAGCAGGGTGGGGGCTCGGACCCTTTTGAAGCCTGGGGCTCGTGCTCGACATGCGGAAGTGGAAGACATAACACATTCTTGGTGGAAGACGGTATTCCATGGAGGGAAAACAAGGTCCAAAATGTCCATGTAATGCGGTTGGAGGGAGTGATGGGTCCAGATCAACAAGCACCAATTTGAGCCTTTCGTCAGTTGAGCGTCTGCGGTTTCGTCAGTTCGCCCAGAAAGATTCCCCCTACTGCAAGTGGCGGTTCTGGGGCGTGGAGTAGCATTTGATGGGGGCAGGAGCTAGTGCTATGGTGTTGCCGATGGTGTTGCAATGGTGCAGTGTTGACCCTGAAACGTCCGGAAGCGTAGAACCTTGCCGAAAGACTATGAACGTCTCATAGCCTCATAGCAAACGTTCGGGGTTTTCACTCACTCCACTTGCTGGTGTTTGTGGGACCATAGGGTACCCAGTTCATGGTGTCACAAGGGATCTTCCCCATTCTACCCATGGAAGGTGCAGAGATTGGTGAGAGAATGAGGAGAGAGATTGATTCTGGCACATGGCTTCAAGGTTCGAAGAGGTCAAGATGGGTAGTACCCCTATTTGGGAGCCCACAGACATCGTTCTTGACGGGTCGGCAGACTGTTCCTGACCACATTGAAGGCGCAGGGGGGTTGTGTAACAAGTTTGTTCAAATCGATCGAGCACGCACACCACCAATGTTTAGGACTATCTGGTCTAGAAGAGATCATGTCCATTCGACCTTTTTTCACTTACAAGTCCAGACGAAAGGGTTTTGCAGGTTTCTCAATCCGCTAGCGCCGTTTCTGGCGCGTGAGCCGTCCAGGGAATGAATGGAGACGTGTGCAGGATCAGTTGAAGGAGATTCAGGCACGCGTGCGGCACGCCGCGTGAGGTTTCCACCGACCCCCATATCGAAGGTTTCCACCGACGGTCCTCTGGCACTGCGATTCCATCACAGTCACCACCATAGTCTCCCCCTGGATCTGCGCGGGATAGTGGGGGGAAGCTCAGGTCTTGGCCATGCTCGCGGGCTGAAATTGTTCCATGCATGGCCAAGGGAAGCCATGGTAAGTTGACATCCCTCAAAGGAGGACCCTGTTCAGATGCGCAGATGGAGATGGGAAAACTCGTTGGTGATGGTCAACAAATCAGTGGAGCAGATTCATGTCAATGACCCCCTAGCAGAGGACCACATGGAACCAAACCACTGCTGCAGCGTAGAAGAAAACGGTCGTTTTCCGCCGGGGGTGGATTCTGGGGGGCCCATAAAGCACCCTTTGGGTGTATGTCGATCTATTTGATCCATGAATTTTCGCAACGTAGCGATTTTCAAGTGATACATGACACCACCGAATCAGTGATTCCCCTAGAACTCATCAACCAACAGTTCCACCATCATTGATGCCAAGTACTGATCCATCATGGTCCATCTAAATTACCAGCATTAGAATCAGCAGTGTTGCAACCAAGATCAACCGAATTATGTTTATATGACATCACAAATACAATTGAAAGACCTATATCTCAAGATATGTTTCTTGCCCGTGCCCAAGCAGTGTGGTGCGGATGTTGATGCCGCCAAGTCAGTCAGGCACAAGAACACACCACGTTGCTCCTCCCAGTCTGGCTCTCCTTGCTCGGACGGAACCCCCCAAAAAAGGGACTCCCGGGCTACGGGAGTTCCGTCGACGATCGAACAAAGAAACGCCCTCGGTCAAAACCGCTGACCGTTTGGGACACCTTTGGGGCCATGGACTTCACGTTGATGATTTTCTCGAAAACAGCCAGCTTGGTCGTGGCCTTTTTTTGGTGGCACTCCTCCCTAAAAGTCGAAGCCTTCCGTTACAGCATGCATGAACTTAAAGGCGGGCATTTCTTATGTGCAAAGATTCGTGCCGACTCCAATTGGGGTATGTGAGTGTGGTGTGCACAACTTTTGCTTGAAAAAGCCCAACGACCAGTGACCAGGCAAACCCTAAACCCAACTAAACACTAACACCTCTTCAAAAGACCAGCTTTCAATAAACCGATGAGGGCAGCGATGTGGCTCAACGTTATATCTTAGCTCATCACCCTGCGAGAATGACCTGAGCGCCCGAAATCCCGCACATCCCCCAGTCACTCCGCACCCACACAGCGTGCTTCACCAGGGTGTGGTCGAAGAGGAAGAGGCCAAACCAGAGAAAGGACCGCAAAACCGAACGTTCTAAGGGCCAGGTCGCTGCAGGCTGTGGGCTTCGGTTTGGAGAGACAAGCGAATCAGACCCAAAAGGAAGGCTTGTGAACTGGAATGAATGGACCCAGGTGTGAAACGCCCAGGTGTTCATCAACAGCGGATGTCTCTGGCCTGTGTGGCTTAGGTTGTCCTTCAACCCGAAACGGAGCCAGCCTGGACTGAATAAGCATTACACTCTTCGGCGATCATGGCGCCACCCACCGGGCACGGAGGTCCCGGAGTCAGGTTCTTCGGTGTTCTACGGGTGTTCCACGGGTGTTCCAGGTCAAGAATTGAGAGCATTCCGAAGAAGCTGCACTTCGAACTTCCCAACCCGTGAGAGCAATGGCAGTGAAAGAAAGCTGCAGAAAATTCTTGAAGGCTGGAATGATGGGAACAACAAAGCATGCTCCAAGTTAGGAATCTTAGAGCCACAAACTGGAGATTTTTCAGGTGGCCCAGGGCGGTTTTTCAACTTCGAAGGTGGAAGGGGAGCTTTTCTGACCACCTGCCGTGATCCCCAACATGATGCCCATTGACAGAGAATGTTTTGGAATGCCTCTGAACCTGGTGACAGTATTTCAAGGACTGCCAAGTCGACGATCCAGAACAGAATCTTCCTGTCAGATGCATCCCGTATATCTTGCAGGGAAAAGTAATCCAATGACTGCCGCAGGAGCTATCGGTGTATGCCATGTGCATTTGTGCATAGATAGACAGATAGATAGATAGAAAGATAGATACTGTAGATAGAAAGAAAGAAAGAAAGATAGAAAGATAGATGAAGATAGATAGATACATAGATAGAGATAGATAGATAGATAGATAGAAAGATAGGTAGATAGATAGATAGACAGACAGATAGATAGATAGGTAGATAGCTAGATAGACAGATAGAGAGATAGATAGGTAGGTAGATAGATAGATAGATACATAGATAGATAGAACGATAGGTAGATAGATAGATAGATAGATAGAGAGAGAGAGAGAGAGAGAGTGAGAGATAGAGCCTGCGTGGACAAATCGCATTCAATGCCGAGGACATGGGTAGTGGTTTGTTGCAAGAGGTGGTAAAACACCTGGGATGCCAGTCGTCACTATTGGAGTTCCATGCAGTTCCTTTTTACTCACAGGAGTTCAGCGAGCCTTGTGCGAGGAGATCAAGAACTGCAATGGGAGTCCTCCTCTTCACATTTGCTCTTCCACTTGCAGCAGGCGTATCAGGGCCAGTTCCCCGCCAATGGCCAACGGAAGCTCAGAAACAAGCACCGTTAATCATGATTCATTGAGAACCGCAACTCGGTGGGTGAAATTGAATGGATTTGCAGTTTGGCTTTGGTGCAAGGCCACAAAAGAGTAGGTAGTGGTTAAAGCAGAGGTCAGATGGGTTCTGCAAATCAGCTGAGCTCAAACTTTTCAATTTGACAG